GCCGGCGACTACTGTATAAGGGAAGTCGGCAGGACGAGAAGCCTTCTAAGGATTTCTTATGTTCGACGTTGACTTACTACTGATTCTACATTGATTGATTATTACGTAAGATGTGCGGGCGAGGGGCGCTATTCCAATCACGATTCAGGGATGGTTACCCAACGGCGTACTGTCAATACAAGCGACCATGCGAGTCCCACGAGGTAATGTAGAAGATGAACATGTGATCGCTAGGACAAGACATTTTCTCGCATGAGTTTCGAAATCCATTTTCTATAGGATCTGGTGCAGTTGCGGAAAAAGCAACTACGTCGAAGAAACTTGAAGACTTCTCGAGACGCGAATTGCCATACACGTGGCAGCAGTGCGGAAAAAACATGCGAATTCTCAAGTGGCAGTCCATTCGTCGACACCCGGCCACACATTCAAATTTAATAAGGTCGAAAATCTCGTCAGAGGTGACTATCGTGTGAGCCGCGATTTACTTGAGTGATGGTTCACGGGGCTCCAGTCTATAGGTAAGTGCAACAGCTTACCGGGTCGCTGAGGTTCGGATTGGCCAAAGCAAGTGGCCACTCTGGGAGCGCAGAGGACAACGCATCATCTAAATCCAGCGCCAGATGGCCGAGCAATCATTACGTTTAGTTCCACCACGTTTGGTGAGAGTTCAGCAAGTCACGACCTGAATGCCGGCCATCAAGCAATTAGCGCACAGGCAGGCAACTATCTTCTACAAGGGAGCCGTTAATTGTCATAGATAGGTAGAAGTGTAGTGACTGTATTCTACAAATACTGCTACTCCGTTTGCATGAATTACCTGTTTCTGTTTATGTCTATGATGAAGGATCAGAGATGGATTTCGAACCGTGAGCCGAATAAAATTATTGTTCAAGAGATCAACTTTTCTTCTTCTTAATGGGGTATTGTCTATTAAGACAGTTTGTGTAATCTCTTAAAACCAAGCGGTAGCTGTGATGCGGGTACATTGGTTTGGCTACTGATTGAGTGGGTCTTCAAGTCCTATTATTTGGCGGAAGTTCAAATAATCAGAACTCAATAAATTTTCTGTTTAGATGAGAATGAAAGATGGGTGTATATCTTGCTTGTAGTTTACCAATTGGTTTGCTTGGGAAATTTAGTCATATCGGAGCTCCTCATCGCTGCCCCAAACCAAGTGCAAAAAGGCTATGAATGGTACTGGAGGATTTCACCGGCTCACAAGTATTCAACTCGAAGGAACACGCTATTCAAGTTAAAGGAGGGAAGTGTTAGAAGGTTAGCCTGACTGAATGCCAGTAACATTGCAGGCTCTACTGAGGTGTCGTACTTGTCGCCGACTGCCACAATGATTATTTTCTCAATGCGGACTGCCTCAATGACATATGTTTTGCTGGTGACTGTACACACGCGATGACCTTAATCCTCTGGACCACTCGCAGACGCACGTGTGTGCCCAACTGGTCGCAGTTCCTCAAGGGCCACTTACGTTCGCCACGGCAGGTGACCTTATCCTAAAGCGCCCAATAATACCACAATCGAACGCGCTTGACAATTACTGTCACGTCTCAGACAGTGAGCTGCACATGGACTGCAAGGACACGGCCAGTCCGCCCCATTACCGGACTTAAGCCTGAGGCGGGGACGTACAGCACGCAGGCTTTTCGCCAGTGGCATAACTACCACCCAAGGCAGCAACTCCGTGCTCTGTACACAATAAACTCTCCTCCGGGTGGCTCCCACCTTTAGGTCCTTCTTATTGTGTTCTTCCTTTGGGGTTCCAAAGGGCTTTATTAGACGGTGAAACTACTGAAGTCACCGTTACAACACAGACGATATACTGTAAGTGCAAGGTATCGGTTCGAAAGTGGCCTCCACCTGTATGCCTGCGTAAGCCACATATAGTCCATAAGTTATGGTTAGATAGTCTTACCCATTTGCTTGTCCTTTTAAATTATCTGGATCAGCCAATAACTTCCGCATCAGCAGATCATATTTTATGGCCGTTCCTCCTCCTATTCCATTGCTGTTGCCTGAACGGGAGCAGAATGCACGAGTTGCATGCTGCCCAAGGTTGGTTCACTATAATTAAAGGCATGTAGAAACCATCGCTACTAATACCAGCTGTTAGTCTTCCCTGTTGACCGAGAACATTTTTTTGCACTGCGCTCTAAGTTTGAGAAATGCAGCAACTTTTAGGAATTGTCATCGAAATTAGTTCGGCCACACCATGCATTAAGACCAACCACGACAGGGCTTAATGTCATGTTTGCAATCTTCTTGGCGTGGTACACAATACAGCCTGCTTACTACGAATTTGAAAAGGTAATTATGCAACCATATCTTTTCAGCAATCCCCTTTTGTGCCTATTCAACTGCATAGATAATAAAAATGTGAGGGATGGGCAAGATTTTTTAATGTTTTATGGTTGACACTCATCGTATTCATACCACCCACTTGGCGAGGTCGGCATGTTGTGGTCATTGGGATCGGGGAAGGAGAAAGTAATGTTGGCTGTGAGTAGTGGTCATTGGCGCGAGTACGCGGAATGAAAAACTCTTTCAAGTGCACCGAATGAACAACTCTCACTAGGGGGTAGGGGCGACATGCGATCGCCACCGGACAGTTGCTACGGAACAGAAGTGCATGTGTAAGCGTCTTCTGATAACACAGCACTGGATTCGTTAACTGTATTGCCACTGCCTCGGCTGTTTTTATCACCCATTGGCATAGGTCTTTAGAGAAGTTGGTTGGTGCTCGGTGTACAGTCTGGAAGGATTCCTTAGGGCCGACTCGGTGGTTAGTATCGGTTAGGTGTGCGAGAATTTGACGCGAAATCGATGTAGTTTTACCTTTACTCAACTAAGCCGTTATGTGTTCACGCAGCCTCTTTTCCGGGTGTCTCCCTGTGTAGCCAGTGTATTTCTCTCAATGGCAGCAATTGAAAGAGTAAACGCATACCGATATGGCCTACAGCAAGAGGCTGCCTTTACGTCCCAAGCGTAGTAGAGGAGAGTTCACGAAGAATAATCGTAGGTCAGCTGCGGGAAAGGGCTTGTGGTCGCCTCCTTCGGCTGTTATCTTACTCGATCGCTTGTCACGTCCCCTAATAAAGCTCTTCCTGTTCTGCATTTCAGCTAGCAGGCGTTTTGGCGTGTCCACCAATATGCTCGATATTCACTTTCAATAAATTTGTCCAGCAGCTGTTGGAGTTCTGTCTCGACAATTTCACGGGGTAGATATGTCACATTCTAGCTGCCAATCCCCAAATTAACTTTCGATTTATCTTTATTCATTTAAAATTAGAGTAAGGGAAGCGTGCGAGTATAGATTTTCTTCCGATAGCCTCTACGCAGGATTAACCCAGCTTTTGGCTTTTGTGAACAGAAATTTGTTAGATGACCCCTGGATGAATAACGCAGATTTCTCTTTATCTGGTCTGCTCTAGTGTATCTGACTAGTCTTGCATCTACACACTAAAGACTTAAAGAGCGGGTATAAATACTGCTAGGAATAAATTAAAACGTCTTCACTTTCCATTATTCAGGTGTTGAGCGCCATGATGGTCGCATAGTGATGATGGAGTATCAGGGTTCAAACACCACTGATGAGGCTTTGCTCTTAGCCGGCAAGGGCATCACATTTGACAGTGGCGGTGCCAACATCAAGGTCAAGAACTACATGCAGGGAATGCACCGAGACAAGTGCGGAGCTGCGGCAGTGGCTGGCTTCTTCAAGACCGTCAGCATGCTGAAGCCCGGCTCTCTCAAGGTGATGGGTTTCATGGCATTCGTTCGGAACAGTCCAGGTGCCGACGCCTACATCCCGGACGAAATCCTCACCAGCCTTGCTGGCCGCCGTGTGCGGGTCGTGAACACGGACGCTGAGGGTCGCGTTGTCCTAACCGACATGCTTTACTACGCGAAAGAGGCGGTGAGTCCTCGTCTGCTCCCAGACTTTCCCGCAGTTTTTTACTTTGCAAATATCACTAAAATCATGTAAGTAGTACATTTGCAAGGAAGTGTAGCTGCGTCCGTTTAGGGGATGCTCGGTATCATTTGTCTGGATGTGCCTAACACGGGAGAAGGAAGTACAGTTCGATGCTCACGCTGAAGGTGCATTTGCCCCTCCAAGGTGGACTAGGTTCCATAGTCAGTATCTGGGACTTCAAAGGACTGCACATAATAACTTGACCGGGATATTGAAATAATTAAGTTTGCGGAAAGCATTTACATTTACGGACAAGCATACCTTTCTGTTACTCAATGTATTAGTATATTTTACTAATGCGTATCATTGAAATAACGCGAGAAATGCGTTTGTAGGTTATTAAGCTGCTTCCGTTTAGAGAATTTGCGACAAACTTTATGAGGTGAGTTACCTTCCGTCGTCCTATGCGATATGAGCGCATAGCAGGGGTTGTTTGGGTTGCGCCCGCATAACAAATGCAGAAACTTAGGTTTGGAGGTTCACGCGCTTGGTCCTTGCCCGATCGGGGCACGGCATGTTATAATACTGCGTGCGCATCCCCTCCACCCGATTCTGACTTTAGTATTCTAGACTTTGTGTTGATACCGGTCTCGGACTGGTAAGAGAAGCGAGAGTTCGATAGACGCATGACATACAGTTCTGCGAGTGCTGCAAGCAATGTTCCTAAATTTGTAAAGTTTGATTATTTCTCCCATACCAGCGGGAACGCATTTACGAAAACTAATAAA